ATCTGTGTCGATCTTCACTGAAATGTCTTAATATATAATTTCATTCGCAAACGTTTGAGGCTCGCTCATGTATGTCTTCAGTAGCAGCCCCTTTGTCATGTCACTGGGTTGGAAGGGAGAAAACGTGCAGTATTGGAGGTTTTGCTATATTTAATGTTGTGATTGTAGAGAGATGATGTACCTGATAGATGTTAGATGACGATTAGGGCCCAAAGACCACAGTCTTCACCTTTCAGCCATCTTCCAAGTATGGTTTACATTGCATGTACATTTCCTTCAAGCACTTGGCACGGGGTGCATCACATTCTTGATTTCACCATCAGGCCAGTGGAAGAGGCCTTAAGGCATATAGCTACCACGCTGTTTTCTCTTCACCATCACGTGCTTCGAGGTAGAACAGTGGTTTTAGTGCCTTTTTAAACTTTTTTGATTTTTTTCACGCATGTGCTTAAAACGCTGCACCTCTTCAGCTACCCGTGCCAGTGCAGCAAGGCCTTCATCACACACTAGAATTATGCTGTAGTGTAGTCTAACACGGATCCTTTCTTTTTGTATTCCAGCCCTTTTAGTTATTGTCTTCGAATAGCAAAAGTTCAGTTTGTAAAAACAATAATTGATGTCATAATGCGAAAAGAGGGGAAAGTACTTTAGCAAACAGGCACAAGTTCTCTTTGAAACACTACCACAGACCTATTCCATATGAAACGAGGGAATAGAGACTTCCTCTAAAAGTAACGTAAACTCATTGTACTTTTGCAGCTCACGCTCTGTCGTTAAAGTCTGAACAGGAAAAACACGCAGCAGTGAATAGCGGCCAGCTGACGGCCACATCACATGAGAGCACACTAGGGAATAGACTGGAGACTTTCTCTTTTTGTTTTTGCACTGAATGTAAAATATCTCTCCCGGTTTGACTTATCGCCACTACAGTTAATGATCTTAAGACCTGTAACTTGTATTTATTCTGTGGTAGTCATTTAAATCGAGTTGTTAGCCTTTAATCTTCATGGCGAAGTGGTGAGACTTTTAAATGTTAAGACACGGTGTGATAATTTATGAATGTATTATGTGTTTTAGCCTACAAAATAAGTCTTTGTCTTGAGTCCAGCAGATGGGGAAACTACCACAAGCTGTGATGCTCATCTTCGCTTAATGGCTGTCTAATAAAACTTTCTCAGTGTGACACAAAATATCAGTAAAGACTGAACTAATAATGCATGTTGTATAACGGTCACCACAGGTGACCTCGGAGTGGAAGAATACTGTAGACCTCAGCATCATAGTCTGCAAACCTGAAGTCATTTATTTGCTGGAAAATTCATTTTGCTTATCGATCCCCTTGACTTTAATTACCCCAGCCCTAGGTAAAACAACATAGTTTACTACGATCATTCTCAGCAGTATCAGGACACATTCCAAGTGGAATTGAAGGCTCTTAAAGGCTGCAGTGTAATTAGTGAATCAGACTGAACCGACATTACTGCATAAGTGCATGCGAGTCATTTTACTGTTTTTAGTCTCTTGTATCTTATAAGGTAAAACTCTAGGTCTTTATAAGCATCACATTGAGGTAATACAGTACTTCCTGCAATTAAAAGGAAAAAACCTTGTGATTATACACACGTTAGGGTCCGTTTGTGTTTTAGGACCCTGACTGATTGTATGACTGTTCTTTAGAGGCAGGGGTCTCTGGTGCTAACGGGGGCCAGTGCCAATGATGTGAGGGTACAGATGGCACAACTATGACCTGCCCATGCACTGCACATAGCTAGTGTGTCCTAGTAAGATTACCTGGATATTTCTTTTCTGACTCCCAGATCTTTCACGTATTGCCTCGAGAACTTTATTTCTTTTTGTTTCTTTTGTCTGCACTGTACTGTGATTTATTTTGTATTGTTATGATTATACTATTACTCTGTCCACCTGTAATTCCAATTTAAAAGAGCAAATAAAATATGTAGTTAATTCAAATTTTGGCTTATACTGTTCTTTGTGTTTAAAGTAGTAGTAGGCCAAAATACATAATAATGTCTGTAATCCATAATTATGCTTCCTCCAGTGAAAAATTCATCCCCTGTTGTCTTCTCACATCAAAATTTTCGCTTGTAATCAGTGCTTGATCTGTGCATATTTCTCTCCCGATTCAAATGAGATGAAAGATTACTGGAGAAAGCAATATTATGGATAGAAGACTCATATTTGAACAGAAATCATCCAATCCTTGATGGAATTGTTTCTTAAAAACACCCAGTTTTTCACTTCAAAAGATAAAATTGATGGACTGAAGTTGTGTGGATTACTTGTGTATTCTTGTGATGTTTTCATCAGCTGTTTGGACTCTCATTCTGATGGCACCCATTCACTGCAGAGGATCCATTGGTGAGCAAGTGATGTAATGCTAAAAATGGCTCCAAATCTGTTTTCATAAAGAAATAAAACCATCTACATCTTGAATGGCCTAAGGGTGAGTAAATTTTAAGCTAATTTAAATTTTTTTGGGTGGACTATTCCTTTAACTTTTGTTTGAAAGTTCAGAGTTGTCATGTAAGAGTTTTTTTTTTACCTCATTAACCACTGCTGTTATGTTATGCTGTTACTTCTTATTTTTTTATTTCAGTTCCTTAAGGCATGACCACTATGTCCTAATTTTTTTAAGTTGGTGAAAGTGGTTGGTTTATTCAAAAGGAAGCAGTTATATAATGTAACCGATAATGTTCAGTACAGATGTGGCGATGATTATTTTCATAATGGTTAGCCGTTGAAGTATGTGTAATATCCTTAAGACAGGCTTAAAATTAGGACTATATATATATATACATACATACATAGTACATATACAGGGCCTTGCGAAAGTATTCATACCCCTTCATTTTTTTTCACGTTTCGTTGCTGCCTTGTGTTAAACTGCTTTAAATGACTTTTTCCCCCACATCAATCTACACTCCATACACTATAATGGTAAAGCAAAAAAACGTTTTTTTAACATCTTTGCAAATTTATTACAAATAAAAACTAAAATGATTCCATTGCATAAGTATTCATACCCTGGGACAGTTGAAATTTAGCTCAGAAGCATTCATATTGCTTGTAGATGTTACTACACTTCAAGTGAAGTTAACCTGTGGCAAATTCAATTGAATGGGTATGATTTGGAACAGCACACACGCCTTAATAAAAGTTCTAATAGCTGATAATGCATATCAGAGCAAACATCAAGCACAGAGGTCAAAATAATTGCCTGTAGAGCTCAGAAACAGGGTTGTGTCAAGCCACACATTCAGAAGAAGAGTTCAGAAAAAAAATCTGCTTCATTGAAGGGTCACAGAAGCATGTAGTCTCTGTTACCCTTAATGGAAGAAGTTTGAAACAACCAGGACTCTTCCTAGAGCTGGCCTTCTGGCCAAACTGAGCAACTGATGGAGAAGGGCTTTGGTTAGAGTGGTGACCAAGAACCTGATGGTCACTCTAGTTGAGCTCCATGATCATATGTGGAGATGGGAGAAACCTACAGAAGGACAAACATCACTGCAACACTCCACCGATCTGGGCTTTATGGCGGTGTGGCCAAACTCAATCCTCTCCTCAGTGAAGACACATGAAAACGCACTTGGAATTTACAAAAAAGCACCTAAAGGACCCTGAGACTGAGAAACACGATTCTCTGGTCTGATGAACCTCAATTCTAAGCATCATGTGTGAAGGAAACCAGCTCTGTTCATCACCTGCAGTGTACCATCCCAAAAGTAAAGTGTGCTGGTAGCAGCCTCATGCTGTGGGGCTGTTTTTCAGCGGCATGGACAGAGGGACTCATCAGAGTAGAAGGAACGCGTTCAGAACCTCAGACTGGGCAGAAGGTTCACCTTCCAACAGGACAATGACCCTAAGCACACAGCAAGAGTGGCTTATAGACAACTCTGTCAATGTCCTTGATGGCCCAGCCAGAGCCTGGGATTGAACCCAGTCAAATATTTCTGGAGAAACCTGAAAATGTGCATCTGCCCCCATCCAAGCTGACAGAGCTTGAGAGGTGAAGAGATGAGGAGAAGAATGGCAGATAATTGCCAAATGCTGGTGAGAAAAGCTTGTCGCACAATACCCAAAAAGACTTGAGGCTGTTAAGGTTCTTCAGCTAAATATTTAGTTAATACTTATGCAATGTACTTATTTCAGTGTTTTATTTTTAACATTATTTTTGTGTATTGTTGTGACAATTCTGTTTTTGCTTTGTCATTATGGTGTATGGAGTGTGGATTG